TCTGTTCCTTTATGTACTGAAGTGTCTAATTGTCTTCCTTTTATTTTTATTTTTTTATCCAAAAAAGCTATGTTGATCTCGGGGAAGAATGCTCCTCTGGAAACTGTTAGATCCTTTCAATCCTTTTCCAGGGGATTCGTTTTCTGTTCTGGTCTCCACTTGAAAACCTCTGAGAATTAAGTCAACGCTTGGCACCTGGCTGTTGTTCAGACCCAGATTTATAAACTGAGACTTGCCTTCTTTTTTGACTTTGAAAGATTGAGATATCAGTATAGGTAGTGCTGGTCCCTGGCCTGCACTGAAATTACCCACAGTGCCTTGCATGTGGTAAGTGCCTAATATTAGTTATTGAATTGGGCCAAATGGAAATTGTGTTCATCAAGCCTACCGTGTGTGAGATTCCAAGTACTGAGTTTATTGGCAGTCATTTTAGTTTTTAAGACTTAAACATATGTTGCATTTAATATCAACCCCATGATACAGCTCTAAATTATTTTAACAATGAAAGGACCATATACCACCCCCAAGGGATTTCCTTAAAGATGATTACTGAATTCTTTTTGTGTGTTTAAACATTTTAGGCTTAGCAATTTTCAACATCGGCAGAATATTTGAAACAGCCAGTTTCTAAAGCAACGGTCTTAAAAGTGCCTTTCGTGGTGGGTGCTGTTACTTTTCCCCCATGTGTTTGTCATTTGATGGCGATGACTGTTTTAATCTGGCTTCGCTGTCTCAGCATATGAGGTAGAGAGACTGGAGGGAAAGGTGGATAAATGGCCTCTTCCAGTCTTTATATACCACAGTAATGAAAATCACTCATTCTTAAACACTGTCAACAGTAGCCTGGTCGTCAGGTCTGTTTTCTGTGTTCTTTGGCCCAGTGTAGGCAGCCATTTTCTTTTCACAGAATTCTCTGTCGAATCCATAGACTGAGAATGTCTTCTTAATTTTGGACTGGCTTCTAGGCCTGAATCAGATTTCTAACTCATTCTGTTTAAATAGCTGCTCTCCAATTTTTCACAGTGGCCTGTGAATCCCTCCTGGGATTCTGGCCTGGTGTTCTAAGTGTCTGGCAGAACCCCGGCCGTGCTGCAGAGGGCAGCTGAACTCTTCTTGAGGGCTGCTTAGGGCGAGAACAAAGAAAAGCAGCAGGAGCTGTGAGTAGAAGAGGCCGGAGCCGTACTGACATCTGGGTAGAAGCTGTAGTTGTGTCCTGGTGACCAGGAGGACGTTCCTCTTGCTTTCTGTTCTTTTGTGCATGGAATGGGACGAGACCACAAATACCGTGACCTGCTCTGGCAGTAGTGCACACAGAACTGCTTCTGAGCTGCCACGTAAGAATGAAAATACCTATGAGTGGACAGTACTGTGGTCCAGGAAGTCTCTGTCGTGTGTGTGTGTGTGTGTGTGTGTGTGTGTGTGTGTGTGTGTGTGTGTGTGTGTGTAGGGTATTACATCACCCTAACATTTCTCTGCTTCCCCGTGGAGCTAGGTAAATACAAGTGTAGCTACTTGAAAACTGACTTCATGAAAGGAATTGGTCGCACATGTGCTCATAGGATGGCACACTGCCCTGGACCCTTCCAGAAGCCCAAGCCTGTCTGAGGCAGTGCTGCAACTGGGTTGAGACTAACAGCGCGGGGCGGGTTCATTTTCAGAGTGTAGTGCTCCACCCCGGCTTGAATGCTGTTTCAGGATCCATCTGTTTCCTTAAGTCACCACTGCCTACTGTCTGAGACCAGGAGCCTTCAGCGGCAGAGATTAGTTCTAAAGGCTAGACGTCCAAGACGAAGGTGCCGGAAGGGCTGCTTTCTGCAGAGGCTTCTCCCTCTGTGTGTCCTTGTGTGGCTGTTCCTGTGCATGGCCTTCATTTCTGTCTGTATCCAGTCAGGTTGGGTTGGGGCCCCGTGTGGTCACTGCTGTAGGAGGCTGCTAGTTCATTTCCCGGCCGCCCAGACTCCCGAAATAATCATACAGAAACCATATTATTTGCAATACTGTTTGGCCAATAGCTTAAGCATATTTCTGGCTAACTAATATCTTTAAATTAACCCATCTCCATTAATCTGTGTATTGCCATGAGGTTGTGGCTTACCAGGTAAAGTTCCACCATCTGTCTCTGGCAGGGCTACATGGCTTCTCTCTGACTCCACCTTCTTTCTCACAGATTTCAGTTTAGTTTTCCCTGCCAAGCTCGGCTCTACCCTGTCACAGGCCCAAAACAGCTTTTTTATTAACCAATGGTATTCACGGCATACAGAGGGGAATCCTACTACTTTCCCTTTCCCATTTAAATGAAAAGAATGGTTTTAACTTTAACACAGAAAAATTACATATAACAAAACAGGTACAATTACAGATTCAATATTTATATCTACTTTATCTTTTATTATAACTAAGGAAAACTATAACTATATATTCTTCAACTCCATCAAAGACTCCAGAAGGATATAATATTTCCTAAGTAAACAGAAAACGCATTGTAAGCAACTTCCAAAACTCTAGAATTGACAGACACTTCTTGCTGCCTGGACAGTCACCCAAAGTTCTTCTGTACCGTTGGGGCATCCATCTTCAGCCTACAGGCCCATAGTATTCATCAGACTTTTCCACAAAGCAGGAAATTTCAAAGACAGTTCCACCTATATTGGCAGTTTGTCAGTCACTTTCTTCTGTGTCCTGCAGAATGTCTTGCAGACTCTTAGCAGGAACCCTGAAGGATTGTCTCACCTTTAGGCAAGTTCAGCAGTCATCTCTCTGTGGGTCCTGCATGTCCAGTTCATACAGCATACCATCAAGCAGTTCAGGCAAGAACAGTTTCTTGCCCAAATGGCTAACAAACTCCATATTGAATCTCTTCCATGCCCTTCATCCTCTTGAAGTAGATTCAAGCTGCCAGGAGCAGATGTGTCTCACTCATAAAAGTCCTAAGTTCTTAAACATTTTAAATGCCATTTTCTGAAGTCTTTGAAAGGTTTGAGGAATGCCTATACATCTGAAATACATCTCTGTACTTCTAGAAAATCTAACTAGCATGACTACAAGCTTGACTATTATGGATGATTATCTACTAACCTATATTTCTTAATTATACATTACATTTTTAAATGAGCTGCACAAACACAATACCTTAATCGAGAGCAGAAATACACATATAATAACATTGACCTTAAATTTGTATCAATAAACGAAGATTCATACCAATGCAAATCTCAATAGCATATCCCCCTTTAAATATAAACAAACATTTATAAACAATCATTTAAGGAATTTGGGTGTAGTTCTCTCCAAACTGCTTCCTGCTTTTTGTTGGGTGAAGTAATTTTCCCCATCTAGCTCTGCTCTACCCTATCATGGGCCCAAATCAATTTCTTTATTAACCAGCGATATTCACGGCACACAGAGGGGAGTCCCACATCACCACTTCTCCTTTATGACACCTTAAAGGCCAGGTCTCTACAATCACAGTGAAAGGTCCTGGCCTTTCTGTATGAACACTGAGGGAACTCTGTTCTGTGACACAGAGAAGACAGTAGTTGGTTTCAGGAAGAAAAGCAGGCAGTGAGGTGAGGCATCCAAGCAGCCTAGAGCAGTCAGCCGTCTTTACCCAGAGCCTGGGAAGTAGGTGGACTGTGATCAGATCAGGGCTTAGGAACTGGGGTTTAGACTCAGCCTTACAGTTTCTAATAAGATGCTTAACACAGAAGCGGCTTATCTACTCCAAAGAGAAGGCAACTCCCTCAGCTCAGAGCTGCTGTGGGGAGAAGATATTGGCAAGGAGCATGTCAAATCTTGGTGGCCCTCAGTATGAGGTGATAACTATGGTCTGTCATTTGCCCTGAGTCTTTCTCTCTAAACAATGTGTGGTATCCCCTCCTGGGCTTACCGCTGACTTTTATAGTTCTGGGAAGAGCTTCTAATTGCCAGCAGAGGCCTCTGATGATCTTCTCAGGAGCAAAGCCATCTGTTTTTCAAGTCCAGGTCCCAGCTCCCTTTTATTTATTATTATTATTATTATTGTTGTTGTTGTTGTTGTTGTTGTTGTTGTTATTATTATCATTATTATTATTATTAAATGATGTTTTTAAGATAAGGTCTCAAGTAGCCATGACTGGCTTTGAACTTTCTGTTTAGCCAAAGATGTTGTTAATCTGATCCTTCTGCCTCTGCTTTCCAAGTGCTAGCATTGCAGGCATTCACCACCACATCTGACATTTCTCTGTAATATATTCTGAGCCCATACATAACTGAGAACGTACTTTGCATTGCCCCCCAGGTGACCTCATTCTAAGATGGTTAAGAATGTCTCATTGATTTTCAACTAAGAGTCCTGTCTCTTCAATCTTCTTTGCTCATTAATGATTATCTCATGTTCTCTTTCATTCTTGTTTGTTTGCTTTTGGTTTTTCAAGACTGGGTTTCTCTGCATAACCCTGGCTATCCTGGAACTCGCTTTGTAGACCGGGCTAGCCTCAGATTCTCAGAGATCCTCCTGCCTCTGCCTCCTGAGTGCTGGGATTAAAGGTATGCACCACCACTGCCTGGCTTCTCTTTCATTCTTAATGAACATAGAACTTCCATCATATAAATTAACCTTTGTAAGACATGTTAACCTTTGTAAGACCAACAAGATGTGTTAGTAGGTAAAGGGTGTTTGCTGCCAGGTCTCAAGTGAGGCTTGATGGTAGACATGAGGCTATGACTTCATAAGGTGAGAGACTTGGTCTGCACACGGTTAGAGTAAACCAGAAGTGGCCTTCTCTGAAGGAAACTCCAGGACACACACCACACGCACTGTCTTATCATATGATACCTTCCACTGTGTTCTGAGTTATCCTCCAGGCCAGCTCCCACCCCATGTCCTGAGTTATCATCAGGGACAGCCCTCCACCCCTTAGACTTCACAACTTCTCTCTTAAACTGAGTAACACACATTTCTGTACTAAAAACGGGCAGCCTGTGTTATATCAAAGGGAAGCAGGAAGGCAGGGCTTACTTACATCAGGGTAGAGGAGAGACATGGAGACAGGGAAGTTGGATGTGGTGAGAACAGCAGTAGGGAGGTATCTGGTTACGGATAAACACCAAAGACAGGAGCCAGGCTGGAAGAGCTCCTCTCTCAGGCTTGGACTTTAGAACTGAGACTACCACTGCTATGTGGGACTGGATTGGTGGCCTTTTGTCGTGACAGCCCAAGGGCACTGACCTGGTTGCTCCCAAGCAGTGCCTCAACAACCTGCTGCTGCCTAGCTGCTCCTGGCGGATGGAAGTCCTGCCCTCAGCACTCCAGCAGCGCTGAGCCTCCTGTCCCAACACTAGCTTCCGCTCATCCCTGCACTCTGGACTGCCTCTTCTTCCTCTGTGGCAAACCCTCCCTAGTAGCTAGGTTCAGATCCCAGCCAGGACATAACCTTGCCTGCACAGCCCCTGTAGTCTGTGCAGTGACTCAGGTACTGAGGTGGTTTAGTCATTAGCTAGGAGTGCTGTGAGGACTTTGGACTTTTGCCTCCGTGCTGTGCCCAGCTGCTTGTACAGCGCCTTTCTCAATCATCATCAGTCACTGCCTGAAGGATGCGGGATGGTGGATGTTATTTGGCACCTTCTTAGTTTAGGCTGCCATAAAAGAACCCTGTGGACTGTGGTTTAAATAGTAGATATTTACTCTCAACATTCTGGAGGCTAGGGAACGCACAGTGAAGGCACCTGTGGGTTAGTGGTGGCCTGGGAAAGACCTTCTTCTGGTTTGGGGACGGCCATCTTTTCAGTGAGACCCTAACATAGTAAAGAAAGTGAGAGGGTCACCTCTGTGACCTTGTCACCTTCCAAAGTCCCCACCTTCTAACTCCTTAAAGTAGGAGTTAGGTCGCCATTGTATTAATTTGAGGATGGGGAACAAAAACATCCCACTCGTGATGCAGGGAGAAAAATGTTTGCAGATGCTACCAGAAGAATATGCCAGATAGAAAGGACCGGACTTAGAGAAGTGACAGCTGTCACCTCTGTCGCAGGTCTGTAGGTGACTGGCCTGGGATCTCACTCTAAGGTTTGTAAGAGAGGAGGGCGTGGGGCTTTCCGGACAGCATAGTTTTGTGACTTTCTGGTTTTCTCTGGGGGTGATGTAGACATTTTCCTTCCTGTCATATTTACAGCTGTCTGCTTGTTACCCCCTGACTCATAGTCATAAACCTGTAACCTCCCCCTCATAGGGCCTTTTGGTTCTGGAAGGTGGTTTTTTATTGGTTTTGTTTTGTTTTAAATCCCTTCCCTTTCTCTCTTCAGTTAGAAGATCCAATAGATTTCCAGCTCTGACAAAGAAGTCTGTGTGCTGATAGCCAAATTGTTACCTGTGCTTTCAGGTTCACTACAACATTGGCAAAAACCTGGCTGATCAAGGCAACCAAACAGCAGCCATCAGATACTACCGGGAAGCAGTCAGGTACGCACGTGTATGCTTGCAGCCTTGCTCTCCAAGATGCTGGCTCTTCCCCGAAAGACTCTTCAGTCTTCACTGGTTTCTGAGCGTTGGGAGAAAATAATAGAGCGGTAACAGTCTGTTTGGCTTTTCTCTCCATTTCCAGATTAAATCCCAAGTACGTTCATGCCATGAATAACCTCGGGAATATCTTAAAAGAAAGGAATGAGTTACAAGAAGCCGAAGAGCTGCTCTCATTGGCTGTCCAAATACAGTAAGCATTTTTTTTTCTTTTCTTAGCTTTCTGCCAAGGACAAAGAATGGATCTCTGGATTAGGGCAGTCATCTGATCTTCTCTTTTTTTTTTTTTGTTTATCTTTTGGTTTTGTTTTTTTTTTTTTTAAAAAAAATGCTTTTCCAGGCCAGACTTTGCAGCTGCGTGGATGAATTTGGGCATAGTTCAGAATAGCCTGAAACGGTTCGAGGCGGCAGAGCAAAGCTACCGGACAGCAATTAAACACAGGCGGAAATACCCAGACTGCTACTACAACCTCGGGCGGCTGGTAAGGACGGGCAGGCTGCTCCAGTTTCCCATCACCTAAAACAGAACCCTCCACATTAGAAAAGCCCTCTCTGTATGTTTATCTCATTTGAAAGAAGCAATTTTATTTCCTTGAATATACTGCTGAAGTCCTAATGAATGAGTCTAACTTATAAAATCACAAAGGCAGTAGAATAAATGAAAACTCTGTGCATCCCTTCTGCCCTGGAAAACGTACTCCAAGTACCCACTTCCTGATAAATATTGTTTTGTTTTGTTTTTAAAACATGAACTGAATTGAAACTAGGATTTAAAAAACAAGCCTGTAACTGATTTCTGAGCTTCCTTGTTCTCTTTCCCCAAGGGAGCAGATTTCTTCTTTTGCAAGGGGACGTTCTTCCCAAAACGAATGCTTTATCTGACAGGGCCTTGAAGTTACTTAATGGAAATAGAAAGTAACATATTTGAACTAACCTATATTTCTGGTCGCTGACAGAATATTTGAGGCAATCTGATTGCTCTTAATTTTCTTGACAAAGAAAATTATGACCCAATTCTTTAAACAGGAGTCATTAGATTTACCAGATGAAATTGATAAGGGATTGCTAAGGGAAATGCTTTTTGTTCATCTGTGCTGAACTGGACCGTATACAGAGCAATGGGACATCTGAGAAAAAGAGAGTGTACGACTTCACAAGTAGGTAGCATCCACAGGTTCTTTAAAAAATAAGATAAAATTAAAAAGAAAAAGGAAGAAAAAAGCTCGTGTATCCTCATTTGCAATACCCGAAGCATTGTCATTGTAGGCAGTCTTTGTGTAGAAATCAGTGGTTCCCCCCACATTAGTTACTCATCCAAATAACCATCTCATATTTGATCATTAAGAGGTTCCATATAACATTTGTATTTTCCTTGAGAGATAATAAATATCCTCCTTCCTCTGGGAAGCATCCCTCTCTGAACGCTGAACTTTGACCTAAAGACCATGTCAAAGCAGAAGGGAAACTCAGAAAACATTAGATGTGTGGGTTTTTTAATAGGAAGAATAGGCTTCCGTTTTTGCTGTGATATAAATAACTGTGGCCTTCAATGTGTTTGTCTCTGGAATGGTGTGTTGTGATTTTGGGAACTGCACAGGTAGAATGGACTAAGAAAATAAAATGGCGAGACCCAGGGCAGTGAGCAGTAGGACTGATCTCCTGATGGACAGAGGGGGTCCCTGCAGGCATCACACAGGAAAGCAAACCTGGGAAAGATGAGAACGGAAACCCAGTGCAGACTGACTTCGTCAACCTGGACCAGACTTCCAGGAGTCAGATGCCAGCATATTTAAAACACAGTATAATTTGGGAAAAGGTTTCCAGGCAACAGTCAGTCCAGTTCTGGGTGCCCAATAAAGCTTAAAGTGTGACTATATAGAGACTATAGAGACTCCTTTACAAAGTACTTGTGACCTTGAGGGTGGGTTCCTTAGCTGAAAGGCCTTGTGTGGTCTCTGAACCTTAGCAGAGAGGCCAGCAGGCCATGAAGTACAAGTGACTGACGTCTCCTCTACGGATGGGTAATGGACTAGGGAGGGGAGAGTCTGGGATAATCATTCTGGGGCATTTGGGTGAGATCTGCTTCTGTCGCAAAAGGTGATTGAGGCCTGCTTCCACAGATAGCAAAAAGGTCACCAGGTCATAAACAACATCCACTCCCAGCCTTCTGGGTAGGAAAACAGGTGTTTTATCTCCTCCCTTGAGAAGAGGCCCCTGTGTGTTACATTCCTGGTTTCCCTAGTGATCTGTGGGCACAAGGACCTCCGTGTCCCCAACACTGGTCAAGTCACTTTCAGTGAGCAGATAATGTTTGTATTATAAGCTTCAGAGTGATGTGGCTGCCGTGTTTTTATTTAAAAAAAAAAAACTCTAAACTTGTTTTAGTTGTTAAGTGAATACAATAGGAAGATGCCATCTCTAGAAGTCTACCTTCCTCCAGGGCACGTGACTGTCAGGAGACATTTGGACAGTGGTCGAGCAGTGTGAGCTCTCTTGCCTTCATCAGCTATCTTCAGGACTGCTGGGCCCTGTGAGCTTTGCATTTCAAAACACGCGTCTTAAAGCTCCTCTAGGGATATGTGGGGGCAGAGGACACTTTAAAACCTCGTGATAATGGACCAAAACCTCAGTCCTGTGCAAAACAGGGCAAGTCCTCAGAGTTGACAAAGGAAGAAAGTGTTGCTCAGAGGGAGCAGATGTATTACCCTAAACCTGCTTGGAGGTGGAGTTACTGTCTGTTGCTGGGATTTGGTCCCTATGAAGTCCTCAGTGTTTCCCCTCATAGAGAGTAGTTCCACATTAAAGCTCCGGTCTACAGTTCTTGCTTCCTCCCCACTCACTCCCTGTCGCTGCTCCAGAAAGCAGGATTTATGTTAAATGAGCCCCCGTAGAAGTAAAGAAAAGAACACAGAACATAAAGTACACACGTGGAAGGTGAGTTCTAGTCTTGCCCTCCGCGTGCTTTCGCTGGGGTGATCGGTCATAGCCCTGAAACAAGTACCTAGATAGTGTTTGCCTGTTGTGCTGCCCTGAAATGGCGTTGCCGCGGGCCTGTTGTCTAAGCCCCACATGCTCTCCAGTGTGGTTCAATTACCCAGCTCTTGCTCTTGACAGCTTAAAAGCATTAAGGTTTAATCTTTAACAGCTCGACCGGCCCATTTATAGATCCGCAAATAAGAGGAACTTAATGACTTCAGGGTGTCTGTTTTAGAAGCTGTTTTTATAACGGGAGACAGATACTTGCTTTGATTTGTGGACTCTGGTAAGAAGAGGATACAATGCAATTAGAGGAGCTAGGAAGTGCCTGGTTATTTGGGGCATGGTGCTGATCCTTGAGGGTGGTGATGATGGAGGAATGCTGGGGACTCTTCTCTGTACAGTTTTCTGTCAGTCACGGACTTTAGAAAAGAGAAAACATGCTAAGTGTTTTAAACCAGGATGCCTTAGCAGAAGGACATGGTCAGACAGTTGTGGGAAGAACAAAAATGGAAATATATTGATGCAGAGGAAACTCCCAGGTTTGGGGGAGCATGTGGATGGAGTGAGACCTGAATTCAGGGGAAACTGCCATGTGGAGGAAAGACCGCTGCTTCCAGACCTGGGACAGTGGAGGAGAGGAGAGGGTGGGGGAGGAGAAGGGCAGGATGAGAGTTGGGTGAAAAGCATGGTTCTCTGTCCTTGTCCTTCTGAGACTGGCAAAAATATGTCAAGGAGTCAGGTGGTAAAGGACCCAGAGCAGAGTATGGGGCACACAAAGGACTGGTAGGCAAGTATTAAGCCACCATGTTTCTCTGTCCTTTCTATCTGTCTGTCTGTCTGTCTATCTATCTATCTATCTATCTATCTATCTATGTGTCTTCTATATTATATACCCTGATCCCATTCATTACCCCGTTCCTTCACAACCACCCTCCACCTTGTAACCCCCAAATAAAACAAAATTTAAGAGGAAAAAAATTAAAAGGGGGAAAATTAATAATTTTGTCTTGGAAGTTGCAGTGTGACATGGTGAGTCACTCAGTAAACCCCTTTGTCTGTATATCTATACTTGCAAGTGTTCATTGCAGAGTCAATGGTCTGGTGTGAGGCCTCTGGTTTCTACTGTACCACAGATGCTGGGCCCTCACTAGGACTCTTTCTGGATGTCCTGTTGTTTCCCTGTGTTGTGGAGATCCTGCAGCTTTGGGTCTGTAGGTCAGGTCTCTTTACATGCGTCAGCAGATCGTAGATGCGTGGATGTTGGGGCAGAACAAATCATTACCCTGGATGTGGACCTGGGCAGCGGTAGGGTTGGTCTGCCAGCCAGTTCTCCCCTGTCTTCACCACTAGGGTGAGCTCTCCAGCATTGCCCCCTGGCTAATTCACCCTTGCAGTGGTGAGGGGTGGGACCAATTGTGTGTAGAGGAACTATAGCTAAGGGAACGAAACAAAAACCTGTTACCTGATGCAGCCTTCACCAAACAGTAATAACAGTCGGAGTGATGGTGGGAGTAAGTTGGAAACAGGAGGACTGGTGTTGTATGAAGGATTTACGGTGTTGCCTCCGACTCTGTCCAGTGACTCACGTGTGTGTTACACACTACAGAGAACTGAGTTGACACACCCAATCCAAAAACCGTGTTTAATGTTTAGTATATTTAAAGAGCCCTATTTATTTGAATCTTATGCCATTTTCTAATGGTTTTAAAGGATGAAATCTTTCAGCCTGATATTCTAAGCCTCATGAGAAATTTGAGAAATTCTGACATCTTTAACAAAAAAAAAGATATTTGTGAATGTTTTCATAATTCATTAGCCTTTTCTCGCCTGTTTGTTGTGTGGGCCATAGGACAAGTCAGAATATTTCTGCTGTCCAGTGGGAAACGTGTTTAGGAAGTGGGAAAGAAATGATGTCTGTCATCTGAACTTGGGGAGAGTTCCAGGGAAGCCGTCCATCCAAATGACATGTACTTGGGCCCCCACGTGCAGGTGCTCACGTGTGCAAAGACAGTTCTCTGTAGTGAGGAGCTGCGGGCAGGCCTGCTTTTCATCCCACACGGCTCCCACACGACTAGCTTAGCCCAAGAAATAATAACACATAAGTTGTATTCATT